CTTGGTTGACAAAGATATGGGTTTTGAAAGATATTACCTATGACAAGATAATAAGGTTGATGAACAGGATAAGGATTGTACAGGATAAAAGCTTTTAGGTAGATATCCATCCATTGTGATTGCTTGCACTTTTTTTCATTCTTTTTTGATGTACTTCTCTCTTCAACTTTCATCATATCTTTTAATTTAATCCTACCATTTTTAATTACATTTTCTATAATCTCACAAGAAATCACCATGTCAAAAAAATTTTAAGAGATATTTTCGATCATTCTTTCGTAATAGAGACTGTTCAAGAAATTAAAAAATAGAACAACGATTTCTTTCTCTGACAAGGATGGTTGTACTTGGGTTGCTATATCTCTCTCTATCTATGTGAATATTCTTTGAAAGTTTTAGTTGACTTTTTCTTCATGTTCTGTAAGGACAACCTATTTGACATCATATTTTCAACATGTTTGTATTATGCTAGGAAGGCCTTAGCCAAATCATTCCAAAAGTAAATCTTATTTCGATCCAGCTAACCATACCATCTTGCTGTAGACCTAGTGAGACTATCTTAAAAGTAATGGATCAATAACTTATCATCATGGGTATAGGTCATCATCTTTTGACAGTTCATGATGATATGTGTTAAAAGGAATTTTGTTTCATCATACTTATCGAAATTTGAGATTTTAAATTTTGATGGAATAACAAGATCAGGCACTACACTAAGCTTGTTGGCATCAACACTCTTATATATATCATGGTCTTCAATTACTTTCAATCTTTCTTCTGACAAGTCATACTTATCTTTCATCATTATATCTCTTAATAAATCTGACACCCTTTTTAATTTCTTTGATTTTTTAAGATTTTCTACATTAGGCACAGCAGTGGAGTCGTAAATAGTAGGCTTGAGATTGATATTTGTCTGAACTAAGGGCAACTTGTAAAAGTGCCAGTATAAGGTTAATGAGTTGCTGGAGATACTTGCGGCATATGAGAGTCTTGAACATATGTAAACCTAGATGGATACAATGGTGTTTCACCATCTGTTTCCTCCATTGCCCTATATGTTTCAATAATTCTTTTTCCTTTTGTCAACTTTGCTAACATCTATTTTAATTCTGCCAAATGTCTATCCATGTTCTGTTGTATTCTTGTGATTGTTTTCTTGATCTCTCATTGGGCTTTTTCCACTCTATCCATCTAACTTGTATTTTTATTTTTCATGATTCTGGTACCACTTGAATGTTGTAAATACACAAACTTAACTAATCTTATTTTCTATGATGCATTATCCTTAAACCTTTTATTAATTAATAAAAGTTAAAATTGTATGACATGAATTTTATTATTAAAAAAAATCTTTTGGCTTTGAAGGTTTAACAAAAGCATATTCGTAATCATCATTCTTTATCTTTAGCTAGCATGAAAAATAATGAATCCAAACAAATGATGCATGATGTGCAAGTTAAATTTTATTATTATTAAGAATAAGCTCAAATTCCCTCATGTAGAGATTTTTTTTACCTCAAAAATTTGGTGAAAACATATTTATGACCATCACTCTTTTTCACGGGCCTTTTTAGGCACGCCATTAAAAATGAAACATAAACAGAGATGTCTATTCATAGAAAATTCAAAAGTTTTTTTCATTCTCAAAAGTTTCAAGTTTATACATCAAGAACAATCCTAGGACAATCCTAAGACAAGGGCCAAAAAGTACTAAACTAGCTCTTACTCCCTATTGCCTCGCCTAAAAAATCTAAAAGAAGTGGACTATAATTGTTGGTAAAGATAACCCTTTGCCTTAAGGTTTATTCTTTTCATTCTTATATTGGCCAGTTTGACTATCATCTACAGCATTACTTACTGTCTCAACATGGATTAGTGAAGGATTCCTGTAAATAACTGGCTTCATTTCGACATTAAAACTCAAATATCCGACCTTCATCAATTTTTGTATGCTATGTTTCAAAGTCGTGCAATCTTTTAGAGAATAGCCCACGATGCCAAAATAGTATTCATATCGGGCATTAGGGTCATACTATTTAGAAAAAAGTGATTTACGATGTTCAATAGTGATAAGGGCAATGAGAAAGTTCTCTTAGAGTAGTGGGTATAAATCTGAGTAAAATATAAGAATTGGGTCAATATGATTTTTTCTTTTGGTGTTGCGAGAGTTTTTCTGTTCTATGATTGGTCCGTTTTGTTGAAAAAATGGTGGTCTAGTTGGTTTTGGAGTGAACTAGGAAACTCCGGGTCAAAAATTAGGTTGAAAAAGTAGTGATGAGATAACATATTAAGCAAATGGTTGTGAAATGTGAAGTGGTGGGTATGACTTTAGGTGTGGGATGTCGGGTTGGGTCATGGGCATGCGCGGATCCTTTCTTTATCCAAAACGATGTTGTTTTTGGTCAATGTCTTCTATATAAAAGCCAAGTTTTTTTTTTAGTTCATTTCATCATTTCCTCAGAAAAAAATGCTCAACTTCAAAAAAACTCTCTGGCCTTGTCAAAATTTAGTGTTGTATCGTCACGCCAGTCGTCGCTTGAAGTCGTCGTAAGTGGTTGTCGTCGATGGTTACCAATGATCGAAAAATATCAAAAAACTTTCAAAAGCTCTCTTTAAGGAGATCTTTCAAATTCGATATCGTTTTAATCGAAAATAGCCTTAATCAGTGTAGATCGAGGTTTGAAGTTTTTTATCTTTTTTTTTATTTAAACAAAAATTGATAGCTTTTTTTTTTTTTTGCAGGTAGCTCGTTGGTGCTACTGGTTTCTTCTTATGGGGAGGACTGTGTTGTTTTTTGTTTTTGGTTTTTTTATTTTTTTATTTTTGGTAAGTGAAAAGTTTAGTCGGGGGTAATTGAGAGCTTGAGTTTTTAAGTATAGGATAGTTGGGGTTTCTGAGTGTGGGAGCTAAGGTTTTTTGGGTGTGAGATAGCTAAGGTTTTTGTGTTTGTGTGTTCGAGATCTTCAAAGGGAAAGAAATTGGGTGCTTTTATATGGCTTGATGCCTGGGATTATGGGTGGAGCAAGTGCCTGGCTTAGTATAGGAGTTGGTAGGGTAAGATCGATGGTTCTAGGTAGTTAGGGCAACTAAGGTGCAAGGGCTCTGTTAGGGTTGGGAATGGTGGTGGCAAGGGCAGGTGAACATGTTGGTGTTGTGCATGATATTATACCAGTCCCTGTCCCAACCCTTTTTTTAATATTTTCTTTTTAATTCTTTTTTTAATATTAATTAAACTAATAATAATAATAATATTATTATTATTATTATTAAACAAAAACTAAAAATGAGATTTTATCTGATAGATCCGAATAAAATTTGGTGTCTATATTGTATAAAAGAAATAACAATTTAAAAAATAGAGAAAGAAGTAATATTTGTTGCGTTTTGAGTTTTAAATTTATTAAATGTCATTTTTTGAAAATAATTATATAAATTAAATGAATTAAATTTTGTATTAAAAAAATATTTTTTGATAAAAGATGCATGAAACTTTTAACAAGTAACCAATATGATTAAAAATTTATCATAATTTGCAATACCACCAAAATTCGAATGTAGTTAATTGTCATGTATAGGATGGAAGATTAGACCAACCTAATCACGTATTAGCTTTTATTTCAAAAAATGTGCTCTATCCAATTGTCATGACATTTTGACATTCTATCTTACCCACTTATGCAACGGTTTGTTGCATAACTTTTTTCACTTATAGAAGAAAGGGATTTACTTTGATCCGAATTTATTTGGATTCTTGTATTTATTAAATAAATAAATAAAATAATAAAAAATTTAGTTTTGAGGTATAAATAATATTTTTTAAAAATAATTATATCTATATAATATAACAAAATTTTAAACTTTTCAATAAAAAATAGTAAAAATCATTATACCAAAATATTTATTTATAATAAATGAATAGATATAAATTTTTATTTAAATAGTTATAACTTTTTGTATAATCATAATATTTATAAATAATAATTTATTTATATTCAAATAGTTATAATAATTTATCATATAATAATTATTTTTGTTTAAATATAATTATTTAAAATATGAATAAAATTAATATAAAAATTAATTTTATTCATCAATAATTAAATTTTTTATCCAATATGAGATGTATTACATTCTAAATTATTAACCGTATCTCTCATGAAACTCACATTAATAAAAAAAAATTAGGTTTACTTTGATATTATTTATCATAAGTCCAAATTTTTAATCTGAAAAAACTTATTTATTAAATGAAAAAAGATTCATAATTTATAAACTTAAAACCAACTCATTCTCTTATTCATGTGAGATTCGTAATATTAATATAATTACAACATTTCCAAAATCTTTATGTACCGGGCTTTTTGTATTCTTTTTTCAATCAAGCTTTTCTTACTTTGATTGAGTGTTCTTTTAAGTAACACACTCATCTATAATGATTTTAAGTTGAACTAAGCATGCAAGCCACACGAACACTCTTGGACCTGTACAAGCAGCCAACAAAGCCATCGCCCTCGTCTCAACTCGAGAGCTGAAGATGTGGTCAAGTGAGCAGTAAACCACCGGCCTTGTTCATGTGATCAAGGACCATACGAGTTGGCTGTTCGTTAGGATCTGTGAACTGATTGTGTTAATGGGAAGTTAGCCGCACCTCCGACCTTCGATCGTCATATTTTGAATAATCGGAATTAACTTTCATTTGATTTTATTTGATCGATTTTAATTATTTATAATATTTATAATAATTTTTAGCAATTTTTTTTGATAATTTTCAACTTTTTTAAACATTTGGGCAGATTTTTTTATTTGGTTTAAAAATATGTATTAGAAACCTATTGACCGGATCGGTTGGAAATATTTTTGACAAAATTATTCAAAAAAAATACATTATTTTAAAAGTTTGAATATTAATTTGTATACTTTTATTATCCAAATATTAATTTATATATTTTAAAAAAGTCAATTTTTTAAAAGGACGGTCTCTCGTCACCAAACGACGAGCGTCTAAGATAAAAAGACAAAAACGAGTCTGAGAATTGAGAGCGGCGGAGTAGTACAAGAAAACGTACGATTCAATCGCTTTTACTTACTTTCCAAAAATCCATATTTTTTCTTTTCATCCCAATAAATGCAGTTTCAGAGTTTTTATAAGAAATAGGAAAACGATATCACCCCGGAATTTCAATATTAAAGTATTTCTTTCTTTCGTTTTCCAAGTCTCACTGTCTCTTTCTCTTCGTCTGAAGAAATGGCTTACGTCCCAGCAGAATACCCATCATCAGCTGGAAGAGCGGGTTCGCGTGCGGCGGCTCCAACCATTTTCGGTCCAACCCACAACCATGCTTCTGCTGCGCATCATAGAAGCCTCTCCGGTATCACACGTTTGATTCGAGGGCTTGATCACGAGGAAACCCGAGAGCAGTCTCTTGACCTTCTTTGCAAGGTATCAACTTTCTTTCTTTTTCGTTCTTCTGAAAAAGAAAACGTGTTAAAATTGTTTAGAATTTGACCGCATCATGGCTAGAACAAGAATCTATTTTCACAGCATAGAAAATATTATACGGTTAAAAAAAATCGAAAAAATCGAAAATCGATTCAAAATTAAAATATTTAATTTAATTTAGGTCAAATTTTTTCTTATTTTGTTCGGATTAATTTTTTATTTGTATATTAAATATATTTATTAAATTTGAATCAAATTTTAAATTAAAATATAAAAATAAAAAAATAATCAAACTAAATTATATATATTTTAATTTATATATATTTTAAATATTTATAAAATAAAAAAATAAATTTATATCAAAATTTATTTAAATATATTAAATAAATATAAAAAATTAAATAAAATTAAAAATTAAAAATCGATGAATGAATTAAATTAATAAAATTTAATTTAAATTTTTAATTTTCATGATATTATATAATATTTAAAAAAATTAAATCAAATATAATCTTAACGGAATCGTTATCATTTTTAAAATATAAAACCACATAATATAAGAATTTAAGTTCAAAATTTACGTTATTAAAAATTGTTACAATCACATAAAATTTCAGCAATAATAAAAATTTACAGGTGCTTTTCGCTCAATAAATTTCATAATAAAATTGCTAAAAAAAATCAATAGATTAGAAGAATAATATTTTTTTTTTCTTTTTCTTCTCTCCCTATTTACTAAAAATTATTATGGAACATTATACAAAATTTCGATTTACTAAAAATTTTTATGGAACATTTAGTTTTAAATAAACTTAATCGTTAAGTAATTCTTTAAAAATTTTTTCATAATTCAAAATGATTCCAATTAGAATTTAAGTTAATATCTAACGTAAATAAGGAAAAACCCATTTTTTTTCATAAAAAAAATGAAAAATAAACATAAATATAAGTTAAAGTAAAAAAGAAAAATTGTGGTTGGATTTTTAAACTTTGTATAACAAGATTTATGGAGAAATTATTGAAGGTCTATACTATCAGCAATGAAGTGAATTCGGATTAAGCATGTATTATTTAGAAAGCTAGATAAAAGAAAGAAAAAAAGTTGAAACATTCTAATGGTTTGAACTAAAAATAATACACTATTGGTATGTACAACATAAGGGTTCTTTATTATCATGCCATAAGGGAATTAGAGACTGTTAATGCTGTTATTAACCATGTTTCTTGAAAGAACTGATCAGGTAATACTGAAATCCTTTCTCGATGATTGTAGTTTGTCTTTTAACTTGACTTGTGACCTGAAATTTGTCTTTTAACACAGGGCACTGGTACAGTTTTAGAATTTGGAAGCTTGTTAGTATAAGAATTAAGTTGTTCCTAGATAGAGGCTTTCAAGGCTTTGTTTCATGACAGAATTTTGAGCATGTTGCATATATTTTAGAAGATAACATATTGCTCTTGATCAAGGCCAGTGTGTTAGAGGTTACAAATCATGTTTTTGAAGGGGAAAACAGTTTATAAGAGGAAAGATCATGGTCTAAAATTCTGCTGTAATATTTTTCTTATCAAAGACTGAAACCACATAATTCAGAGAATAAAGTGAGCCTACTAGTTAAAATAGTAGTTGGAAACAATTTGAAGTAATGAGCATGATATTTCCTGGATTGGCTCATTTGTAATCTTTTCTTCTCTCCCCAGTATAGACAAGCTCGTGATGATTTGGGAATTTTGTTATGGAATTCTTTTGGTACCGTGAAGTTACTTTTACAGGTAGGTCTCGCTATTTAATTTCTCTAGTGTTTCTCAGTTAGCCTGTTTCATGACATGTTTCTCTTTGAAATTTTCTTGCTGTTATTTTACACATCGTATTAATCAGTTCTCATGGATCTCTAGAGTACTGCTATTTCCATACCATGTCACTCTCCAAGAAAATCATAGATTTGAAAGGTTTATTGATAGATACAACACCTACACCAATTCAATACTAATGATTGTTTACTTATTTATTATTCAGGAAATAACTTCAGTTTACCGTCCACTACTATCCGGTGGCCTTTCAGAAAGGGCAATGACACAAGTTTGCAATGCTATTGCGCTTCTTCAGGTTCACCTCACTATGCTGACCTCTTCTAGTTTCATTTCTTACTGCTGCCCGTTTGTTCATCTTATTGATCTATCTTCTATGATACTTCTATTATTCTCCTCAACTCAATAGTTTTTGTTAAGTTAATTCAGAAGCTAACTTTCAAGCTTTTACCAATACATTTCCTTTATGGTTAATGTCAACATGGTGAACATGAAATTTTGTGCCTGAACCTTGGCAAGTTTCAATCTGTTTTATGAATGAAAACCCTTGACCGCTCATGACGTCTTATTAGTGATATTTCTGAAAGTTTTTTTATCCATATCTTTGACTCATTGATTGATTTTCTACTTCTATCTTGAAAGAATTTTCGTGGAGATATACTTTGCTGTTAATTTCAGATATTATTTAGGTTCCTTATATTTACTCTCTTCTAGTTCGATAAAATCATTAACATTATTAAAATGTTAGTTTTTTTTTTATATTTTTTAGCAATTTTTCTATTAATGGATTCTGGTCCAATCTTAACATTATGATAATTATAATAATTTTATTGAACTAGAAAAGAACATAAGATGAATGAATATGCTGTTGTCAAGATATTCTTCATACATATCAGTTATGGAGTATTATTTGAAGGGGCATATTTGTCTAGACATCTAATAGGCAATGGTGAGACATGCAATATTGCTGAGAGATATTGGGTGCTTAGTCTCAGTATTCATCTTAAAGGAAAGAGGTGTATTATCACATGCCAATGAAGTTTATAGACAGATTTCTTTTTTGGCCTGTATACACAGAATGAAGAGTACTTAGATGTATATTTAATTTGTCTATATATATTTTTAGATTATGTTAATTTTCATTTCTTTGAAAATGTTAAGGACATACCATTCTGTTTATTCTCTTTCCAGTCAGTAGCTTCTCACCCCGATACAAGGATGCCATTTATCAAAGGTAATTATATTTGTAATCCTCCAAATATGTGATTATGGATGTATAAAAACTGTTCTAAGTGAAATATTCTTTGCAGCTTCTATCCCGGTGTATCTTTATCCCTTCCTGAACACTATGAACTCTGAAAGGAACTATGAATGTTTAAGGCTTACCAGCTTAGGTGTCATCGGGTCCCTAGCGAAGGTAGTCTTACCTCATATCTTCTGATCTTCTTGTGTCCTTTTTGGAAGAACTTTTATCTTTGGTTTTGATTTTGAACATAGTTACACCCAGAACAGATACCTCATTAGAGCTCATGGAGTTGAATTAAATTTTTTTAGTTCGGACTTATGTTTATGAAGTTTTTCAATTTCTGCAGGTTGACGATGCAGAAGTGGTTGATTACCTTCTTTCTACTCAGATATTTCCTAGTTGCCTACGCTGCATGGAGGTTGGCAGAACATTGTCAAAAACAGTGAGTGACTGAACTTTCTTCAATTATAGAAATCTACAACTCATTGTATCTGTTGTTTTCCACCATGTTCTTTCTTACCTATCTCATTCAAAATTAAGAATAATGGTCAAACCATTTGCCTTATGGGTGAATCAACGTTATGAGCTAATTAGAAATTTCAAATAAATTTGTATCTTTGGAGTTCGAAAGCATGGAGGTTAAGTGAATCCCAGGAAAACTGGAAAAAGTTGAAAAAATGAATTAAACAACATACTTTGTGGCTTATGCTTACACTTAAGAAAGAAATATTATTAATTGAGAATGTTGCAAATTTGATATTATTTTCAGGCCCTTGGGGAAAAAGTTTCTGGCTTGGCAATTATTATGAGGGAAACATATGAGCAGTTTGAAAGGTTATTAGGACTCTGTGTAGAACACATTTTGGCTTAGACTGATTTAGTAAGAAAAGTCGAAATCTCACTAAATCTAGAAGGGAATGGATGCTTTTCACAGACATTCGAAATTTCTGTTTACTGTGTGATCTTTTTTTATATATATTTGAAGCTATCATGGATTAAACCTTAGTTACTTGAAGTAAGAGTCTAGCACTCTATCAACAAATCACATGGCTGTCAGCGTTTCTGTGTGATCTTGTGGCAATTGTGCATTATGCCACATTTTCACTGCAAAAATGAGAATAATAAGTTCTTAGTAAGTTCCACGATACCTTGGCCATGGCAATGAACTCAAGGGACAATGTGAGATCTTTGGAATAAACCAATGAGCTCAAACACGTATAATGATTTCAGGACCTTACTTCTATGGCATTACTACATCTTGTACATGCACGCTGCTTAGCTATACTCTTGATTGTAAAATGTTTAACTATATTAGCTGCGAATATATTGGAATCTGCAGGTTGCCACATTTATAATTTACAGAATCTTACTAAATGAGAAAGGGCTGAAGTATTGTTTCATTCTTGCGGATCGATATCTCTCGGTAAGCCACGCTTTGGCAAAAATGGTTGAAGGACTTGCTGAAGAAGATGAAAATTCACCACGCCTGCTAAGAAACATCATTGGTTGTTATCTTAGACTCTCAGAAAACCAAAGGTTAGATACGTGTTCTAAATATATATATATATATATATATATATATATATATGTATGTATACACACATATATTTTCACAGTTGCCTGTCCTGTCCAGCATCTAATGTTCGAAACTTTTTGTTTCAAAATGTAGGACACGACAACGATTGTCAACTTACATTCCTTCAAAGTTAGTAGACAACACATATATTGATATCCTTCGAGTATGTCCTTCAAAGCCTTGTCTCTTGCATCTGGTTTTTGTGAAATTTCAAACCCAAAAGCTTAGAGTGTATCTAATGTTATTCTTAATGTTTAAAAAATAATGCTAATCATCTGTGTTTTCCGAAAAAGAATGTCTTCGAAATAATTCCTCATGCTAATTTCTTTTCCAGGGTGACCCAGAAGCCATTGGTAACCTACAACAATTGATCTACAATTTAAAAACTAGCCAGAGGTCTAGACCACAACCTATAGGCTTGGTCATTGGGGCCGTTCATTAGATGGAGAATGCAATTACTTTATTCAAGCTGGCCAAGGCAGCATCATTGGGAGCATACAATATACTGCATCACCACAAATTGTGCTGTAAGTGTGAATAGAAATGCATCTTTACATGAACGTAGACCAAATTTGTTAGCCCGTGCTGGCTGCTCCTTCCCGTTGCTTTTCTAGTCCCCAATCTGGGGCGAAACAAATTTATCCTTAAGTATTATCAGTTCACAGTTTTATTTACATGCCAATTTGCTCGACTTTGCTATAGATCATTAGTCGTTTCGGGGCAAGCAGCGCCCCGACTTTGTGTAGGCATTGTTCAGGTTAGATTATAATTTTAAACATATACGGCGACAATATAAAAAAATATGAAAATAATATAATTTAAAATAAAAAATCATATATAAATTCGACAAGAAAAATATAATATTTAATGTGATAACATAAATTGTGACAAAATATTTTTCTTTTTTAATCCAAGAGAATAACGAAATAAAAATGATAGAGAATGCTGAAAATTATGGCAAGGCATTTTTCATAATTTACACATTAAACACAATAAATAAGTACAAATTTGAATATACGAATTGTTATTTCTACTTTATTAACAATGCAATTTAGCTCAATCAACGTTTTTAGTATTATAATTAAAACAATATAAAAAAAAAAAAGTGTCTATGACGTTTGTTAAAGATTTCATAATACATTCTTCTGCTAATAATAAAAGAGCAAAGCCATAAGACCACCACTGAATACGGTAAAGAATACAGATACATGGACCAATCAAAACTATAATACAGAGCAGTCAGTAACCGGTAAAACAATAAAGAGTTGAGAGAGGAAAAATATGGCTCCCAATCTTTAGATAGTTAATTATGCGCATCTACTTTTGGAGGTATTGAATGATTGCTTTCCAGCATAAAAGATAGATCATGCAGTTGTGACATCAATATCTCTATATCATCAGTTTTTGACCCTGTTGTTGCACTGGAAAAATCTCCATCTTTTGAAAGCATTATTATTACTACCTCCTACATTTGCATCAGCCATCCTGAAACATGTGAAAGCAACTATGAGAAGTTTCTCCTCAGGTTCTCTCTCTCATGTGCATGCTCATGTAAGCCCATAATTATTGGGGGAAGAAGTGAAGGGCTTGATTTAACATGACCTTCACCAGGAAGAAAACAAGAGCAAGTAGTTTCCATGGCCTGATGCAAGCAGTAGAGACAGAAGCTTTCATGACTTTGTACGGAGATCCAAAACAGGTTTTTCACAGGAGGCTCAATAGATCCTCAATATCAAGAATTAGAAAAAAATTTTGAAAACAAATTCCCTGGTTCAGGTAACAACGGAAGTACTCGGGACTTGGGAGAGATCTGACACAGCACAAAAAAGTCCATCTACAATTTGAAAGTCTGGCAACAGTAAAACGCATCTTGGCACAAAGCATAGATGATATGACCAGTTAAATCCACATAGATGAAGTCACAAATAACAAGATACCGATAAAGTTTAGTCTCAACCTAACTAATCCTTTTTATCCAATTCCGCTAATCATGAAGTACCTCTTTTGGGATGGGTTAATACTTACCAACTAAGCTATGACTTAACACACTTTAAGCCTCCTTATTTGCAGCAATGCTGCCATTTTAAGAACCACACCCTGAAACAGAGGCAGCAGCCCCGGTTATCCTCCAAAACAAACTAGATTTCTTTATTTCCAATGAAACAATCGTCCCAGAAGGCCAGATCAGTATCATTCCCTATCAGCAAACACATTTTCTTTCAATTTCCTGAGCCCTGCAGGAATCTCCAAGTTGTACAGCCACAGTTATTCTTTCTTTTTAAACAATACATTGTACAGCACTCATAGGAGTATTACAACCTTATAAAGAGACCCCCATCCAATCTACCAGATTGCATTAACAAATATGTCATCTACCCCTATTCTACTTTCATAAATTTAAAAAAAAAACTCCCCACATCAGTATATTAACAAAAAGGTCAGAAAGCTGTGAAAAATGGTATGTCCTTTTCTAATTCGGCTTTGTGGAAAAAAAAAATTTTCCAGTTCCTATCCGGAGCTCCACTTGTTTTATCTTGTTTGATCTTCCAAATATATTCTCTCAAATATTTCCAATAACAATTAAACAATTGAGCAAAAACTGAAAATTGCAATTACTAGAAGTAGAATATCTTAGCACCAAATTACATAAGAGACAAAAGACAATAATATAAATACAGTTTCACAGGATACTATAAAATTTCAATTCTGTTAGAAGGAAACTGACAGAATAAGCATACAGACCTGTCTGAAACAGGAGCTTCAGGCCGCATAATATTTATTTCAGTAGAGCCATATTGATTGCTGAATGCCCCTGAAAAGAAATCAGCTTGAGATAAACTACTAAAATTATTATTATTATTATGAGAATTTCCATCCATACTGAACAAGTTTATTTCTGAAGTTTCAATAGAAGGCTTCCCGTGATGGACAGTTTTTTTGAAAGAAATACTTGAAGAATCTTTTGCACTAGTTGAGCTAGTAAAATTGTTCCAGGCAGCAGACAAGTCATCATTATCATCAATGGTCTGATAATCAGGTCTAGCAGCTTGTTTCCAAGAATTACTAAAAGCGTCTTGGGTAGTAGTTGAGCTTTTAAAATCACTCCAATCACCAAATGAATTGTCTGATTCATCAACAGTGTTTCTATCAGATGCCTTGTTGTTGCCTGTTAGCCATTGATCATCTGGAAACCAATCAATATTCATGGAGGGAGAATTATGCATGGTCTGAGCCGTTCTAGAATCCATAACATCAACAGTTGCATCAAAGTTTTCAGCTTGACAAGTTAACTTCGAGGTAGAATTACTCCATAGATCATCCTGAAACCAACTGTTAACATTTGGTGCATTGGATCCATCTTTGGCTTTCCCATCAACTAAATATTTTCCAGATGGAAAGACTGTATCCATGTAATAGGAAAGATCAAACGAGGAACCGACAAAAGGATCAGATGATTTTGATCCCTCGTGATTACTTTTAGAATTAGCAGATTGAAAGTCAGTGTTCCATCCTGAAAACGGGTCACTACTCTTTTCTTCAGTAGAACTAGTATCGATAGTAGGTTCTTTCCAAGAACTTATTGAAGAATTTAGGATGTTTGAGCTTTTCAAATCATTCCAAGCCCAAAATGAATCATCATCTTCGTCATTGGTTCTGTTACCAGCTTCTTTGTTGCTACTTGTTGGCCATTGATCATCTTGAATTCTGTTTATACTCATGGAAGAATTATTTAGATTTGATAACATCTCACCATCCCTACCACCCACATTTGCATCATATTCCTCAGCATGATGAAGAGTCCCTGAGGTGGAATTACCCCATAGATCAGCCTGAAACCAATTAATAGTGTGTGATGAAGTTGTGTTATCTACTGCTTTTCCCTGAAACGAGTCTTTTCCTGTTCCAAAGACACTATCCATGTGAGTAGAAAGATCAGCAGAAGAGCCTGCAAAATGATTAAAAGATTTGGATACCTCTTGGTGAGTTTTAAAAACAGTAGATTCAGAGCCAGCCCCAAATCCAGAAAAAAGGATCACCACATTTTTCATGCATCGACTTCAACCATTAACAGTCCGGTCCCAAGAAGTGTGAGCAGCATCTTGTGCACTGGTGGAACCCTTAAAATCATTCCAAGCATCGAAAGAATCATCACCATCATTGGTAGTTTTCTTACCAGAGGCATTTCTGGCAATGATTTGCGCTAGATCACCTGAAGCAGAATTACTCTTTATATCATCTTGAAAACAGTCGTCTGTTTTGGATTCCGAAGAAGTTTGATTGGCATTTTCTTTTCCATCAAATAAATTTTTACCCTGTCCAAAGACTGTGCCCATGCGGGAAGAAATACCTTTCGAGGAACCCACAAAAGGATCAAATGACCGAGAGCTAATAGCATTTTGATCAGTTTTAGTATCAGCAGACTGAAAGTCAGCCTGCCAACCAGAAACAGAGCCACTTCTCTTAGAACCCTGAAAATTATCAAACAAACTAAGGTTTTCACGCGATTCAAACGCTTTACTTCCAGCAGAATCAGTCTCTTTATTTACTGTCAATGTCACTTGGGATGGTACCGAAACAGATTCTCCTTTTCTTTCAGCTAAAAAATCATCACCAAGATCAAGTCCAGCCAAATTCAATGGATTAGTCATTCTCAAACCAGATTCAAATTTCTGGCGCTCGGCATCATTCCATCTTATTTCTAAATCTAAAAGATCAGATAATTGAAACTCCTCTCGAGGTCCTCTGTTTGATCCATTCCCTTCTAAAGACTCTCCCACAATTTCCGACTATACCCAAGTTTTATTTTATAAAAAAAAAAATCAAAACAGAAACTAACAACATAAAATAAAACTTTAACAGATAAATAATAATAATAGAAAAAGAATGACTTACAGATCCATCTAAGTAAAGGGAGTGGAGGAACCAGCGGTAACCGGAAGTGGACTTGAATTTGATGGGTGAAGGCCGCATATTGGTCTGGTGTTTGCCACAGAAAATGCAAAGGAGGGAGCCGGGGCCTCTGAGGAGATGGGCTTTGCAGTGGAGGCAGCGGAGGCGGGGAGAGTCGGAGATTGAGTGAGGTAAGGAAGGGAGAGTGGAAAGCGACGAGTCGCTCGGATCGTAGGAAGGAACGTTTAATTGCTTGCGAAGTGAGATCTGGAGTTGGGTTATTAGATGCTTTGGGATTTCAACCGCCATTTCTTGCTTTACGCTTTTCATCTCACCATCTCATCTCTTCTCATTTCGAAGGCGAAGATGGTGAATGGCGAAGCGGGGGGCTTCCTTCTGTTCGTGATTAAACGACGTCGGTTAATTCCTAGCCGTTCTTCGGCTTTTAAATTGGGTCGTTACTCTATACCGACAGGAGGTAATTTTTGGGGTTCGGCCCAAGTCATAATTGGGTCTTGTCAAATCAAAAATTGACATAAACTTTTAATCTTTTCCTTGAAGAAGCCTCGGTCCACGCAGTCATGGGCATATGGTGGGCAATTTTATTCGTTGCGATGGAATTCAATTCGATTCGTTGATTTTTTTTTTTAATCAAATTTCAGGTTGAATTAGATAGCGAGTAAAAAAAGGTTGAATTCGGAGATTTAAATTTTAAATAAATTTAATTTGATTTAATATTATATAAAAATAAATTTTAAAATAATTTTTTATTTAAATATTTATATTTAAAAAATAATATTTTATTAATTTCGAATGATACATTTATATAATATTTGAGTTTAAATTTTAATATTCAAAAAATAAAAAAATTCAAATAAAATTAAATTCAAATTTAATGAGAATCGAATTCGAACGGAATAAAATCTCGCTCCGACATGACCCGCTGCCATTCCTAACGCTACGCGTATTTTTGTTCCATTCACACCCTCTTCGTTATAACTTCGATGAATGATGGACAACAAAGTACAAACGCACAAATTACAACCGTCAAAAAACTCGAAATCCTGAGCAATAGGAAGTAGGATTTGAGACTCGCCCAGTACTATTGCATCAAACTGGTTTCTGAATCTATAAAAATTGATCGAATCTTTCTTCATTTCATTTTTGGGTACTTAAAAAGTTAAGAAAAAGAAAGAGATGACAGTGAACCAGGCGACGGCGTTGAAGGTGGGGTTGGGTCTATTGGGTCTGTGTTTGTTTGGCTACATAGTGGGTCCACCTCTTTACTGGCATTTCATGGAAGGCTTAGCGGCCATCAGTCACACCTCCACCACTTGTCCACCTTGCGTTTGCGATTGCTCTTCCCAGCCTCTTCTCACAATCCCTGAAGGTAATTCCAGATCTGGGCTAGATCTCTACTCTTTTTCTTTTCTTCATTTGTAAATCAAAATTACATTCTAGCAGTAAACTTTACATTTTGGGTCGATATGAAATTAAACTTTTTTTTTTGTTTCAAAGAATTTTATGTGTGTCCTGTTTATCTACAATTGGAGAATGGAGATCTTGTAATTTCCTTTTTATTCAGCGAATGAACAATTAGTTACTGCCAAATTTTATTTTTCAGTATATTGTTTGACAATTATATGATAATCCAATATTCCTTCCCAATTTAGGTAGCATTTGTGAAATTCTCTGTGGAATTTGCCCCAAAGGCATAATCTTTAACTTAGCACATTTATATGTGTTGCTTCTAAATTAAAACACCTTACCCTTGGTTACGTAGGTATTACTTGGTAATTATGCAGCTAATTGTTGAAAGCTGAAACTTAGGCCTGTTTTATTTGTGCTCATATGTTTTGAGTGACGTTCATTTTTTTTTTCTAGTTCTCTGCATGGTCTTTTGAGGCTTATTGTTTTTTATTAGCATTCCATGTGCTACTTACCCCGCGAGGTTCCAAGTTTCCATCTTTTTATCCAAAACCCCTTTCTTCCCTTTTCTTTTTTGGTTCAACTCTATGCTAATTTTGTGATTGTGTCTTTAATTCATGCAGGGCTGAGCAATGCTTCCTTTTCAGGTCAGTTTCCAGTTTCTATATCATGGATATATTCAGTGGAACATCAAACTAAGTAACTTAATTGAAAGGAAAAAATCGGTGATTTTTGGTTATGCATGATTATAAGCATGTGATATTTAGAGCTGTCCTAAGTTAGCTTTCTTCCCATATCTACTTGTGTAACTGGCATGTATTATTAGTGATCAAAGTGGATATATATATATATATATATATATATATAGAGAGAGAGAGAGAGAGAGGTACATCAGGTTAAGATTTCCCTTCCTTCTCTTTGGCTGTCAACTCAACACCATATGAGAGAAAAAGGTGGAAGAGTTTGTTCAGAAAAGTAGAGAATGGTTATCACTGGGTCCTACACTTGATTCTTTGAATGCTGTGCCTTTAGGATTACCCCTAAGTTTAGCATGACAGCAGGCGGATACAGGATTTCTTGGTTAATATATGACCTTTTTTGCTCCCATCACTTTCTTTAAAGTGTCGATTTTAACAGATGTTATACCTTACATATCATGAAGTGAGATCAGTAATTTTCCACAATTTCTCTTATCCTTCTGTTTTTATTCAGTTATTGCTCTCTAATCACATGAAAACTCGACGTGATTTCCCCAACCAACTCCCCCCCTTTTTTTTTCTTTGTTGTTATGACTGATTGCAAACGTAACAATGAATAATTTTCTGAAAATTGAACTCTGCCACAGTAATACCTAAATAAGATCAAGTAGCACCTCTGGCAGAAACAAGCATACTTTCCTACACAATGATTTGACAAACACAGTCCTGCTTTCTTCGTTTATCTTCTTGTGTTGTCTCAAGGAGATTAGAATGCAAGATTACAGTAGGTTGCTGAGAGATGTGTTACCTTCTGTGTTTTGTCTGAAATTAAACTTTGGGAACCTTAAGCAATATGAGGAGGTGGAATTGGCAATAAGGTGAGACTATGTATTTTATAAGTGACTGTTCATATTGAGGCTTAAGAAAGAATCAAGAATTTTTAAACTGGAATAAATAGTGCTATGATGGTTATATTGGATTTGTTTGGCATGGTACTACTATTTTCACTCTTAATTTGTTCAATGTTAATTACATTCTTCTAACATGCTTCAGTTAAAATTCCTTAATAATTGATATTGTGGTAATATGTTATCTCAGGTAATTTGGTAATATTGTATGTATTAACCCTTTCTCATTGCGTTGACAAAACCACTGCCTTCAAAGATTTGAACAAATTGTGGAGTAAATGATTTTTATTCCAGGGTGATGTCAGTCATTTGGGTTTTATGTTGTATATGGTTGGTGTGTTGATAGTTGAATTTAAATATTCTGCAGATTGCGCAAAGCATGATCCTGAGGTGAGTGAGGATACTGAGAAGAGCTTTGTAGAACTTTTGACAGAAGAACTGAAGCTAAGAGAGACTGAAGCTTTGGAAAGTCAGCAACGTGCAGACATGGCACTACTTGAGGCTAAGAAGATAGCATCACAGTATCAAAAAGAAGCAGACAAGTGTAATTCAGGTATGGAAACATGTGAAGAAGCAAGGGAGAAAGCTGAAGCTGCACTGGCAGCTCAGAAGAAATTGACAGCAATGTGGGAACTAAGAGCTCTTCAAAAAGGGTGGAGAGAAGGGGTATTCAAATCTCATACACAATCAGAGGGTAGAGTCCAGGCTGTCTAAGTGATCCACCATGGCCTCATAGGAAAGTATTTCTTTTTCCACACTGCTTATTGCTCTGCATGTTGATTCTGGAGTAACTTATTGCATCTTACCGCAAAGCGGGCCATATAGATTATTCATGAATTCCAGAGTTAATCCTATACGTGTAGTCTGGTTCTTGTGATTTATCGTAAGCATAGTTACCCTTGTTCTTATGGAGCCACTAGAAACAACCACCTGCTTGGAAAGGCCATGTTGGAATTATGGGTGAATGTTGCTCTTTTAAGACCAGTTTAAGTTGCACTCCTGTAAGACTCTTAAAAGTGATTATGGTTCATGTGGGAAAAAAAGAAAAGTGGGAATATAAAACTTGTTTGCTAGTGAAAACATAAACAACTATGAACTGGAATTTACTATCAATCTATTGTAATTTTCTATCATATGGAGATATAATTTTCGACTTTTTATCTTTGATAGTGACAATTGTACTAGAATTTTCCCTTTTTCCTTAGCCGTTAGGAATTCTAATACTGGAGTTTGTGCTTGGGTGCGAATAATTTCTTTTTGTACGTTAAAAGGAGTTTTGTTGCCTCCAAATTTTTTACGTGCGCAAGGATTTTAAAGTTACGTTTTCAGAGGGACAGTCTCTCCTGCCCTATAAATAGGGTTGTAAACGAATTAATCCAATCAAATGAATGTATTGTTGCGGTTTATTCCTTTAATTGTATTAGTATTCGAAATTGATTTGTAGTTAGTAAAAAAATTACTTGTTTGTTCGAGATCGATTTATTTAAATAATAAAATATTTATATTCGGTTTATATTTGATTTGATTAAATTAAACAAATTTATAATTTAATATTAAACTAAGATACTTATCATCATATATGAACGAATAAATGTTTATGAATAATAAATAAATCATAATTAAATAAATATAAATAAATCATAAATAAATATAAATTAATATAAATAAATCTTAACATACGATTAAGTTTAAAAATAAATGATAAAAATATAATTTTATTATTATTATAAACAAATAATAAACGGATGAATTTTTAAAAAATTTTAAATGAGTTTATTTAAAAATATAATCAAACCAAATAAATTTTTATTCGGATTCGATTCATTTAATAAACAGACGTAAAAATATTATTTAAAATCATTTATTAAATTTAATATACGAATATAAATGAATAAAATTAAATATATTTAAAAACGATTCATTAAAAACATTATTTGTTTATAGCCCCACCTATAAACTTATCTCATTTATTTTAGAATTTAAAATTTGAATTTGAAGTTTTGGTGTTAAAACTCATAAATGTTTGTTAAGATTTTTTATTAAAATGTATGAAACTTAATTATTATTTTAATGTTAATTATCTCTATACAAAATAAATACACGAATTAATTTTTGCTGTAAAATCAACGAAGAGCAAAGGCCCTAGACAAAATTTTATATACAAGAATATTAAGGTTTTTTTTTTTTTTTTTCACGCATGTAATTTGGTTGTCTAATGATACTTATATTTAAAAGGTCATCAGTGCAAAGGGTTTAGTATCATGCTTGTAATCTCTCTTTATTCAAAATAAATTCGAACTAGTTTAATCCATAACCGATGATTGTCCAATCCAAAAAAGACACGACAAATAACATCCGCATCTAACTCGTTTTCTTTGGTTTGGTTTTTTTTCCCACTTCCCTAACACTCTCCTACGACCAAAAATGCATGCCCTATACTCTCATTCTCCAAACCTTCTTCGGACCACTGACTTTAGTCATCGGTGAGTTTTGTCAGAATCACATCTGACATTCGTCATTGTTCTTTGATTTGGTCATGTACATACAGACAGGCAATCTTTAGTTATATGTAAAAGTGCTTGAAGAATATATAGGACTAGACAATCCAATGAAATGACATGAATATGGCATAAAGAAATTTTAAGAACAGACCCGATTCTTTTTGAGCGATTCCTCCAAGGTTGGCTCCATCTTCCAAACAGTTATTAAAAAGAACAAACTGCTCCGTCTTCCAAACAGTTATTAAAAAGAAGAAACTATCTTCCTCCTATGTGCCACTCCATGAAAATCTTATTACGCTTACTTTTGGTGTCTACAATATGTGAAAATCACTATGAAAGTTTATATCTTCTTGTTTTCTACTTCTCTGCTACCCTTTTTTTCCTAAATTAAATGATAACTAAGGCGCTGCATATGGAATGCCGCCGAAGCAGCATCATTGAAGATCAATGGAGCGCTCAGTCAACAGGCGATCGGCTGCTCTAGGTGTGAACTTCCTTGCAAATAGAAAACAAGGAGCAGTTGTAAAATTGACATGGCACGGCTCCTTCTGGTCTTCATACTTATAATAAACATGGTTGATGACCTGCATGTGTCAATTGTAGTTTGGTTAAGCAGGAAATGTAGTGTAAGCACATAAACTCAACGCAACAATAATATTAAGCATCCAACCTAAAACCATTGGCAATAGGTGGAGATTTCAATTTAAATATAAAATCACAAAAAACTCAATATTTAACAGATGCTGGAAAACACCACTTAAACAAGCCCCCACCACATGTGGGCAGAGACAAAAGCATTCTATTTGACAAAATTGTAAGGGTAACAAGTAGAGTAACAGGTAAATACCATGTTAACCAAAAACCAATTAACAATAGGTGGAGGGATGTAACTTGAATATAAAACCACAAGAAAGGCAATATTCAACATATGTGCGATAACACTACTTTAAACAATAGAATTTTACTGATAGAGCATTCTAAAACACAAAACCAATATATATAATCCTGGAGACTGATAGAAGAAGAAATCCCAAAGAGAGTGCTATAGAGCTGGCCAATGTTCATTGCTCAGCACTCACCTTTATTTCTTGAATTAGTTGGGGACCTGCATCAGCATAATCAAAATGAAAAGGGTGCCATAAGCTCATTTCCCCTCCTTCATCAGATTGATTCCATAATGAATAAGTCAATGTTCTTCGTTCAAGTTCATTTTCAAGCCCACCGATCTAGTTGTACAAGTGGAAGGCAGTAACCACATTTGAACGAAATGCCAAAAATAAAAGAAGAGAGGAAAACAAATTATACACCAGAAAATCTAACACATATTACCTACAGAAGAGCAGTTTAGATGCTTACTTTGAGCAATGTCTGGACATAGTGTTCATCAGGTATACAGTTATGGCCATTCTGAATATTCCGAAACAGCTCCTACATGCAATTTCTAAGAAAATCACTCACTTGATTGAACCAAAAAGAATTTTAATCATACATATATATAAATGTTAGATACAGATTTGTTTTGCCTTTTTTTTAGTCAGGATATGGTAAGACTTTGTTCACTTACAAAAGCCTGCAGCATCTGCCATCTCATTTTTAAGTTTGCAGGCGGCCAGCGCTGAAGATTAAGTAACATTATTAGAAGCAATCTATAGCTGCATTCAACAGCAATACATCAAGAAAGAATCCTAGAGTAGTACTCAAACCAGATGAAAATTGAGGAGCATGAAAGGCTTTCCATGGAGTATATACCTTACAAAATTTCCTGAAAACAGGAAAAACAATATCATCATCTACGACAATTACAGCATCTCTTCTAATCAACGTGATCCACTGAATTTCAATGAGTAAAATTTTCATCATCAGCAAATTTAGGTCATTTAAAAATGTTGAAGTATCATACAAGAAGTTCAAGATCCTTTTCAAGTTGCATCCACTTGAGAAATATAGCTTCCTTGAATAGTTAGATGAAAAATGAACAGGTAAAAACGATAGTATAAAGCAAGAACCTGAGATCCTTTCCTCCATTTTTCCTTTGGTATGACAGGTGACATCTCAGGACTATACCGATTTTCTTTAACATCAATAAAGCTGTAGGCAACAGACTACTGAAGATTCAGCTTAACTATTGCACATGCTATGAATTCAATTAGAAGATTTTGTTAAAAATTCATTGTTATTTGCTCTACCATTATATATATACCTTTCCACAAAGCTTTTGGGAGAAGACATTAAGTAGCTGTAAATATAGCTGAAGTTGTACAAAGGTATGCAGCTGTAAAATAGACAACTCATGAAACAAAATTAAGTCCAAAATCTCAATCTATATGCATACAATTTCTGGGAAAATGGAAATTTATCAGATAAAATCTAAGGATTATTGTTTCACATTCAGCTAGTGGAGTGTAAAAACTCCACGAGTTTATTTTTTAATATCCCGCCCCTTTACTACAGTTTAAGGAGAGGATGTATCAACCAAAAGTATACTCATCTTCGCATTTACTGGACAGTAAAACATGAAAGGCAAAAATATATATGTAATTACTACAGTTCAAAATTTATAAAATTAATACTTTCAGATATTAGGAATAAGAGTTTCACAATAAGCACCACCACTAACCTATCAGAGAGAAGTACAAATCTCTGATTTGCTGGATCATCTAGAGCAGCTTCAAATAATAATCTCTCTGCTTCTATCATACTTGATTCTCCCCATGCTACCTGAAATATGGAATATACATAAAAATTATGAAAATCAAGCACTTTGATCCAAATATAAATTGCAGGTGATCTTGAACTCCAGATGAGAGCAGGGGCATAAATGATATCCTCCGCATAATCAACCACTACCTCTATTGGCATGATCTCGTAATAAAGCTAGATTTGCGGATCCAAGGGAACCAAACTTTCTCATTCCGTTTGTTTTCCCTTATCTTCATCTAGAAATACTAAGGTTCCATTTGATTAATGTTTTATTTGCAAAAAATAATAGAAAACAAAAGACAAAGTATACAAGTTGAATAGAAAATAGAAGACAAATAGCAAAAGCATTAACCAAACAAAGCCTAACTTAATCATCGGAGGGTTATGTTGGATCAACTTTGACACTGTTTGTTGCCCTTATTTAGATCTATTAGAAAATAAGATGCTGTTCAATTCGTAGGATTCTCCATCATATATATACAACCAAAACAATTGGGACTCATAGCAGGGCACTTGTTTGTTAAGTAATGCAGGAGGTATTCGGAAACTGAGGCTTTCAATCAAATCAACATGGATTACGTTAAAGAAGTACCTGAATGCTATTATTCAAGTGCCGACCATAAAAGAAACGTGACCTCGTGTTCGATTCGTTGAAATCAAAACCAGGTTCCGAGTGAACATAAATTGAGAACATTCCCGCGTCAACATTCTGTAAGTTTCACCATTCTCTTAGAAGATGAGCCATAAATACCTTATTAATGTTATCCCCATGCAATATACATTTTCGTCTTTATTCTAATAATAAAAAATAAATACCAACCTTAAAGAAGGTGCCCCAAAGAAAATCAAGAGGCAGGTTTCTGCGAGCAAGAAAGAGAAAAGCGATCTTAGGAGTACCTTTAAAGGGATCATCACCGAAAACACGAGATGACAGATAAAAAGAGTGCATCAAAGACTGAAACGTGGTGTGAAAGTGAAGTCTGAGAACAAGCACAAGGCAGAGAAGGATGATGAGTTTCGAGCCAAACTTGGAGAGTAGGCGTGCAGGTGATAATATTGCTCTCTTCCTCTTCATGGCTTAGTTAAAGAGAAAGCTTGCTCGTGCAATGCGAATGGTAGTGAGGGATTTTAGCGGGACAGTTTTAAGATTGGAGCAGAGCATTTATGCATAGGTTTAAGTGCATTAAATGAAACGTTAAGCTCCTTGGACGTTATAAAGTTTGATTTCTGATGGAAATTGAGATAGAGTTGGTTGAGAAAACCTGTTATAGATTTACAGTGAAGCACTCAAATGTGTTTTTTTCAGGGGTTTCAGCCACTTTTCAGATTTTAATTCAGGGTTTTCCTGACGTATTCGAAGTCATCAGTTAGAAGGGATCCATCTGGGACTGGGTAAACCAGCAGCAACTAGTTCATTCGTCACTGAGTTATAGCACAAGTGCTTCGTGGTTAAGTCTGATCAATACATGCCCTTGCCTTGCACTTTCTCAGAGGTGGATTGAAGTCTCGAGAGACATGTAACGTCTGGTCTTGTGTAGGTCTTGCTACAAGAACTCAAACACACCTGCCAAATTCGGTCTACTTAGGTATAGATCAGTAACTCGTCAAAACTGGCCTTCAGATATCATACAAGAACTAGTCTCGGTCGCAGCCAATCAAAAGGGAAAGATATTGAATAATTGCATTGAATCTGCTGGATAGAAGGCATGATGTACAGATTCCAATTGTTCACACTTATCATCTCAGCCTCTCAGCCAAATTCGGATATGATAAAATATAAAATGGCAAGGGCAAATTAGGAGAACAAACCTCAAGGGCAAATTTTTAGCAATTTTCATAGAAGGCATATCAGGCGCAAACAACTCAGTATAAACAAGTTAATGTGAAAAAGAATTCAGGAAGGATATTCATAACTATATTTGTCCTAAGAATTGGCAAAGCAATAGTATATAATTGAAGTCCATAGTAAACAAAAATCAGTTCATATTTATCCTCTAATCACTTTACAAGGTTTCTACAATAGAAACTTTTAAGTTTTGACACCAGCTCTTTCTTCCCCTCCTTGCCGAGATTGATATATACTCCATCCCGTTACTGAAGGATAAAGAATCAATGTTGTTTACGTAACATCCTAACCAGAATTTCGCATCAGAAAAGCCACTATGAATCCCAATAAAGCACCAGCAACAACCTGACCATACCATATACAATAATTATTTATGCCCATAGGTAAGATTGTTAGAGTGCTTAAATGACTTATGTCTCCCTAGGTAAATAGATGGATGCTACACTCCTTTTATTTTCCTTGGTAGATTTTATATATTAGCATGCCTAATCCCATCTTATTTATGTGAAAGAAGGCAGATATTATCACTAGACTTGATTAGACAGCAAAAGTTGAACATTCACTAAATGGTACAATACTAATTCAAGTGGGAAATAATCTCCCAAACTATAAAGTGCTTCTCCTGGCTTACTATGTGACAATCCATTTTTGTGGCAAAAAAAAGTGACAAGCCATTTCTTTAAAAGATAAAATAGGAATGAAATTATTGAGCCCCATGGAAAGCCTTGTTGTTTTGCAGCTGGTAATTGATAAGTGAGTAAACATCCAGAGTTTCAATTTAACATCCTTAAAAAATAGAGGGTAGGGTTGCCAACAGATTTAAGACAGCAATCCAAAAGGTTGCAAATTTGGCAGACTAAAAGAACCTTTCTGCTGCGGGGATTTCAACTGTAGACTTTGAAGCCTTAAAGACATTGTTTCCTCCTATCTTTTGTTTTGGAGTTAAATCATTATTTTACTATTTGAGTTTGCTGAACGTTAAAGGTGGAACCCCAATTTGATGTCAGGCTTACAGAATCATTGACATTTATAAAAGAACAACCAACTACAGTGATATGCTGGGAAACAAATGCTTTTGGAAGAATTAACAAAGTAATAAGCAGTACTTGGAACCAAGAAGCAATAAGTTATTTTAACTAAATGTGCAGTGCAGAGAGTATTAGACCTGGAGTGGGGTATGCCCAAGTAATTCACGCAGAGGCCTCATACTAGATAATGGGTGTTCAGGAGGAAACTCACATACAATTTGATTCAGCAACTGCCAATATGGAAAGAAAAACTATGAACAGTGTATCAGGACATTGTAATATAGCTGAATCAAAGGCAAATAAACTTTGCATCTATATATCCAGCAGAGTAGGACTTACTTCAGCTTGACGACTGGCATGAAGTCGGACACCTGAGGCATCATACATCACCTGCATATATTGAAAACTCATCAAATAAGCATGTAAATTCTTTTTCATTGAAAACTATTTTCAGGTTAAAACTAAAATATCGGGGAACAAGAGCATCAATGTCAATACAGTGCAAATATTTTGATAACAATCCTGATTCATTCATCCATATTTCGGGAGAGCCTGATATATGGTCACTTTGGTCTTCCAAACATAGTGCATATAAAAATTAAAGTACTTATCACTAACATTCTATGCATAAAGCTAAATATCACGTTTTTGCTTCATGCTTTCTATTCTCTGTCCTTAAACAAGTGCATCTCCGGGTTGAACCTAACAAAACAGCCTCTCTGGTATTCAAGTATAGATTGTAGAGTCATCTGAGCAGGAAGCAAACCCTAAAGTAGCAACAATAAATTCATCTAACAGAACTATGCTGTAATTATACCACATATAAAAACTTCTCTTAATGTGTCCCTAGATATAGCTTAATCAAATTTTTTTGAAACATATTCTCTAAGCAGGTAAAAAGAATTTCAAGCATCATAAGCAGCAAAACGAAAAACATAGCAAATTGGGATAAAGGCTGAGTTCACCACTGAACTTATAACCACTATTTAACATTGGGACTCCTATTTTCTTCAGTTAGCCACTGAACTTTAGCTTTTATCCGGTTTCATTCAAAATTTTACTATGAAAAAAGAAGCAACATTCTGTCAAACATTTACTTACAAATTAAACCATGAATCAGTCTCAACTTGATCTGGACAACAAAAACCAAATTCTTCACATCAGCATCACTCAAACCAGTTGAAAAAACCAATCTAAACTCTTTCGGAAACAAGATAATAATAAAAAAAAAAAAAAGCAATCAGCACAAATTGTTACAAATGAAATGCATATAAAAAAAAGTGCAACAATGAAATTTTTGAAAATTGTGTAGAGAGGATATGTATTGTAATTAATCAGAATGCAGAATTACCCGCAGAATTGCTAGTACACTGTTGATCATGGGAAGGAAAGAAGAGGTTAGTGAAGATTCTCTGGAAAAGTGAGAAAAAACCACAGAGATCATTGTTGAAGGACATGCAGGCAGCAATCTGAGAAGGTGGTACAGGCCTATGGTCATGGAGGAGATAAGAGGGAAAAGGAATGAGAGAAAAGAAAAGTGAAAGGAGGAATTACCCCTGGTCACCTTCTCATCTGAAACATTCCATGCCAGCAGGAGCGACAGGTTCCAGAGAGAGGGATGTCTGTCTCTGTCTCTCTTCATTAATTATTTTTCTTAATTAGATTTAATAAGGCTTTACTATGATTTAGTCATTTATAAAATTTATCATTACGGCATATAATCCATTTATTTGTTCTCCTTAATCAACATTAGTGCTGATACTTAATAAAGATAGTAGCTACATGATTACATGTGACTGCCTTCTTTACTTTTTAAGCAAATAGCACCAAATCTGGAGTTCAGTGAGCTAATTGAGAAGAATTAAGAATTTTGGGTATAAGTTTGGTGGCAAAACTGGCCATTATCCCTAGCAATTTCTAACTCAAATTTAGCAATAATACAGAAAATAAGCATCACCAAAATGAAACTTATCAAGTTCAGGGAAAATTTTGGTATACAAAAACATCAGAGATATGAAAATCTAATATAGATTCTAAAATTAGATTAAAATGAGAGAGAAAAAAAAAAGAGGCAAGGCAATAAATAAATAGATTGTATGTGAGAATGTCACCACAAGGATATGAAAAGTTAAGAAGCACATACAACACATGCCAAGACAACTGCAATTGCAAAAGCTGGTCCTCCTGTCCCATCCTGTAGACCTATAGCAACTGCAAGAGCTGTCACAGTTGCAGAGTGTGATGATGGCATACCACCTGAATCAATCATCCTCTTAGAATCCCATCTCCTTTCTTTAAACCTGAGTATCTAGGAGAAACAAGTTCAAATGTTTGAGCTACTATTCAAAAAGCACTGGACCAGTGATCAAAATCAACTGAAACTCGAAAACCCAATTAAAATTAATACTTTGTCGAAAAGTAAATAAATAAATTAGCTATGCAAGTGAACACAAATTTAACCTAAAGAAAAAACCATGCATACACAAAAAAATTTTAAGAAAATCCTTGTGTTAGAGGGTTACAAAGAACAAACTCTTAATTTCCAGAACCCAAGATGTATTGTAACTTCTACTCGGGCAGTATAGTGATTTCCCCTATTTGAATCCTCTCTCAGATGTCGTTGTTTGAGTACAGTTCTAGAACCTAGAATTAACATATGCTTTCAATGAGTCCATTGCAATTCTAGAACTTAGAATCTTAATTTCACCAAATTTTAAGAATGATAAAAAGGAAAATGCCAAAATATTTTTGAAGGCTTCCTCTAACCTCGGTAAGCATTTTCTTTTCAGTTCCTCACAATTTTTAAAGACATGCAGGCATTTCAATCTAGGCTAGTTCTATGAAATCAACTTTTCACCTTTTTCTTAAAACAGTATTAAAATAAAAAGAAAAAAAACCTAAAAATACAGTACCAGATCCAGGGGACTAAAAGCAGTGCCATAAGAATGAGATATAATCAGTCCCCTTTCACAAGACAATTCAGTTAAGCATATTCGTAACAGCACAAGTCATCGAATCGAACCAATCACACAAGAATTCAAACACAGGTTTCCCCAACTAGGCTAAACAAGTTCTTAGCAATCAGGGTTTATTAAATTAACAAATATACCAACATTTCTATTTACATTTTCTCACGGTTAACTGCTATGTTTTTTTATGAGCAGTTGATAGTTAAATTGTATATCAAAACCCTAACCAAATTCCAAAATGTTCCAAGATTCGAGTAGATGAAAAAAAAAAAACAAAAACTGAGATTAACAAAGAACGAACCAATTAGTGAAGAGTTTAAGGAACTGAGCGATGGCGAAGGCGAGGAAGGCCGTGATGAGAGGGAGGTTGTTGAGAAGCAAATTCGACGGAGACGTCGCTTCACTGCCTCTCATTGATCCCGCATCTGCTGCCGTCATCACCTCTTTCTAAAACCTTAGAATGTCTGAGTCAGAAGAAACCTGCCTGATCTGGATTCGTCAAAGCCTGGCAGCAGCCTCGGGCGACGACGATTCAGCGAACAGCGGCAAAATGAGAGATAAAAAAAAGTGCCACGGGTAGGAAATGCTGGGATCCGTCAACCAGAATAGGCCCACTACTGGCCTGGTAACTTTGGACGCTTTGACTGACCTTTTGGTATTTTAGTTTTTGGAATAAGGTATACGTAAACATTTTTTACTTTCGTTACAAATCAATTTTTATCATTTATTTTTAAATAGATGTAAATTATTATTTTTACTTATAATTAAATTAAAATTATAAAAAATTAATAATAAAATACTTCCTCCTTTCTAATTGTTTGAATGCTATTGATTTTTATGGAGTTTAAATTTTTTTTTATTTTAATATATTTAATATTAAATTTTAAAATTTTTTTATAAAATTAAAGTTTCATAATTTTTAATGTTAAAAAATTTTGAAATCATAAAAAATAATTTTAAAATATAAAAAAGTAAAAATTTTAAATGTTAAAAAAACATAATTTTGAAACGTCCCATAAAAAATATGAATAAAAAATGAGATGGAAGGAGTAATATTTTACATTAAAAAAATTTTAACTTTTGATACATATCAAATTAAAAAATATAGAAGAGAAAATTACATTTGTTTCAAAATAAATAATATATTTGATTCATTGTTTTTAATAGAAAATTAAATTTAAGTCAACAGCAACCAAATTTTAATTTATGACAATTTCAAAGTATCAAAAAATTAATAAATTTATTATTTTACTTAAAATTTTGAGTTTTCATAATAAAAACAAACATTTAACTTTTTTTTTAAACAGTTGTTATTTACGAACGAGCATATGACCAAAAAAGCTTTTTAAGATTTGTTAACTTGAGACAGGGAGAGCGATGATGCCCCGTGTTTACTAGGAAGTGGGATATATCTTCTAGAAGAGCGTTTTGTTGGCATGAGGGCAGGTTCCTGTTCCCACCCTTCCATTTCCATAGCTATAATATCACTGACACTGTCATCTGCTCTTTTGAAAACCGGATGCATATATGCATTCTGAAGGAATCCTTTCATGTTCAAGTTTGTTTCCCTTGCACGCTCCATTGTATCCTTCATCATTGCTTCCTGAAAACACACACAAACACACACCAAAAAGAAGATGAGATAACATATTCAAAGACAGCAATGGAACTATGGTTTCTTTTGTTGAACTGTTTCTAATAAAAAAAATGTGGGTGTAACGTACAACTGACCTGTCAAGGATATCTGAAAAAAGCTGGTTCATAACGCCCTTTGCAGAATCTTTGGAACCATATGGTCAACACAGGAAGGGTGATAAGCAATGGAGTTGACTGAGCAGCTTCTTTTGTGCTCAATAATCCCATAAGTAGCAGCAATGATACGTACATGAACATCAATGCTGCCCCACTTTCATATTCCTGATTGTAGACAGTTATGATCTACAAGTATGTATTAGAGCAAGAATTTCCGAGAGAAGATGAAACAACAGGAAACATTAACCAGGTGGAACTATTATTGAAAAGCCTAAATTCATAATGACCTGGATTAGTATTACAAAAATGCTGGCCGGAAGCTATTCTAGTTGCAACTTGAAACATGAGGCTATAGTCACTAGCAGGACAAACATGGCCTTAAAACTACGAGTTTTTCCCCTTGAAAAAGTAACAAACGTACTTCTGGAACATGTCAGTTCTTACCTGATGACGATACATGACATAAGCCAAGCCAAAGAATACTATTATGAAGGGAAGCAGGATAGGAGCTACCACAGCATAAACTAGACCAAGTAAGAAATAAAGTTGTATTTGAGGTTCGCCTGTATTGAAACCAATGGTTTCAGGATCCATCGCCTCTGCCCTGTCCTTTTTAGCTTAACCAAGAAGAAATTCTTTAAGTGATAGATTATTAAGGGTCTCAACCTCAGTATCTCCGCAGCAACTCCAGCCCAACCATCAACCATTATAAAAGTAATGAAGAATGTCGCCTTCATTGGAATTGAAACACCAATTGTCTTTGGTATCCTACAAGTAGCCGTGTGAGATCATATTAGAGAAAGACTTGAATGAGAACTTACTATCACTAATAGAACAGACAAACAGAGGATAGTTCACACAAGCAAAGTAAAAGTTTTGGTATTGTATGGTGTAGAAGCTAGTGAGAGTAATGAAAGAGCAAACAAACTGCTTGATGGATTAAGCTAATGGACATTTAATATTCTTGGCAAACAGTCTATGCTATACTCAAGGTTCAAGTTGTAAGCATCAAATTAAAGTTGATATCCATTACCCACGAAGTCTGCGTGAAACAAACCAAAAACGGAAACCAAGAAAGAGCTCATGAATCATGATTAAAATTTTGAGGTGCACAGCAGGAAAGAGAAGGTACTATGAATGTCATCATCAGCAAAGAAATGTATTCCATAAAGAAGAAGGTTATCATGAAAATGCAGAATGATCATGATGATGAATTATCTTAGAATCCATTTTCCGTTTCACTACATTTTGGTTTCCTTCTACATAAAAACAGAAAACAGTTTCTTGACTCGTTTAACTTCAGTGCTCACCACTTAGTGCGTGTTACCAATGTCTGTATGTGAGGGGCATACAATAAGAACTAGAAGCCAGTGAAGATGAATGGCAGTAAAGAGAAATATTTAACTAGAGCATATCAAGCTGTATTAACAATGTTATCACTTCTAAATTAGATCCTAAACTCTTAAAGTCGCTATGGACAAACTAGGCAAGATAAAAAAATTAGGACAAAAACTATGAATTTGCATGCACACACGTAAGCCTGTCCAACAATCATACTATACAGAAGAAAGCATATACAAGAACATACTGATTAGTAGACTGGTTAATAAAATTATTTAGCTGCTGAAATGCAGTTCCCGGAAATTATGCTCCCAAGAAAAACATTAATGAACAGGAAGAAATAATATCTACTTGCTGATCTCCTTTCTAGAGCCAATACACTAATAAATCCTTCGAACTTTGACATTATCATCAATATTGTGGGCAGAAATAAAAGAAAATTCTTCAAAGCAATCCCAGGAAGGAAACCTTGAATGAATGACTTTATGACTTCCCTGCAGGAAATATTGATGTTGTTAGTTTATATTGGGAATGAAGAGGAAAAATAATTGTATAAGGGAAAAGTTTTAGAAGTGTAATTGTCCACTAATAACCCAAAAGGTTGGCCTAACAGAAAGAAGTTGTTACCTTTCAACGGGGGTGTCATGGTCCTAGGTCCCTCTCCCTTTTGAACTTCTTCAATTTTAAAAATAATTAACTTTTTCTTCAAGGCAAGGCCAGAAATATTATAGAATACTACTATCAGGTATTCATTAGAAAGAAGAGGAAGAAGAAAAAGAAACTCACTCTTCAATTATAGGTTTCAGGAAGGGAAGCGCTTTCTCAATGCCTTCTATATTAGCAAGGGATTGTACTAACGTTATAGGAATCATGAAAAAGAATGTAAGGAAAAAAAGTGCAACAGCAATAATGAGCCTCCTAATTGTAAGAAAAACAAATGGAATTGCTAGGTTTTCCCAGTACACATCTTTTGGCTCTGGAGCCCACTCAGTCAACCACATAGTTGGGTCTAGATTGTTGAGTTTGTGCACAAACAGCAGCTCCCCTAGGAGTTTTGATTGATTTAGGGTTGTTAGTAACCTTCTCCCTCTAGGCAGACATCTGGCAGTCATTGAGGGAACCGATTAAGCAAATACTTCCAGATTACACAATTCGAAGACAAACAAATTGCTGATAAGTTGGTAGATTAACAAAGAAAAACCCAAAAAACCCCTCCAGATGTTAATTTCATGCAATAAAGTTGGATTAGAAACTGAAACCAAACGATTGGACATTTATGATGCATGCAGGCAGTTTAAAACTACAGATACCATTTTCACAACCTTGGTGTCTGAAACAATTCTTACCGTTCTATAATTGTCATAAGCTTCCGGAATAAAAAGGTGGTGGATAGGTCAAGTATTCGGGGTCTCAGATGAGTGTGATGAATAGATATGCCAGCTTCAAATAAAACTGAGCTTAGATTTGCAGGTAAGAGTTTCTCCATTGGAAACAAGAAAATGTTTGCAAAGAATCATGCAGTCATTAGAGAGAGTATGCAGCTGCTATCCACCCCTCCCCTCAAGGAACTTCTAAGGAAAGGAAAGTTGATATACTGAGACTTAGAAGTAATAACACATTACAGAAAGCAAGAAATGCTACTTACATCACTAGATGATCTCTCAATTTTGGATGTATAAAACTCGATTGCATCTACGCTGTTCCCCCAAAGGCCAAGGAAACCAGTCTGCTTGATAAAAGAGAAACTCGTCAAAAGAAGCCAGGAATAGAAAAGGAAAACTAGCAAGATTTCGTCAACTTTATTTTGAGTTGAATACTAAAAGATAAAATTAATTATACTCGAAAAGACAAAAGAAAGGGTAAAAGAATAATTCTAGACATGATATAAGCACATTATTTGTAAAAACAAAAAAAAAAAAAAAGAAAAAAAAAAAGAACACTTTTAATGAAGGTCTCCTAGATGGATTCCTTTCATATTTATTTTGATAGAAGTCGAGCCAATTCTGAATTTTCTTCTTCGCATTGACCAATTCTGAAAGCTTGTTAGCATTATAAACAACCTGCAAAGAAATAATTACAAGAAAAAACCATAGAAAGATGTATTTCCAGCATTCAAAGGTGTTCCAATTAAGCTAACAAATTCACATATAACTGTGCTGCATTCAAAGGAGTTAAACCTAAGCTAAACATGCCCAACGATAAGTAAGGTTGTGTAGGATCATATAATTTTCATATCAATGTATAATACCAAACCAGGTAGTGATGTGGATGGTTGACAAGAAAGAAATGTGCAACAAGCTCAGTAACTGATTCATTGGGATCGGGTGGGACATTTCTGACCAGTACCTTTACCAAGAAAATGATGTCAGAAACAAGAATTGAACCAGTAAAATAGATTAAAATGTTGTAACATAATTTAAATCTTCGTGAGCCAGCAATAAAGAGAGCTAAAACTGGAATACTGTCTGACTGGCTTTTTCTTTTGAACTTTGGAAGCCAAAGGGGAAAATAAAATCAATAGTAAATCTCAAATTGCTCAGTAAACATAGAATATGAAAAGAGGACATGTAGCTTCA